CTCACTACATGTACTTTCATTTCAAATCCTGCATGAAATTATCTGGCTTCTACAATACTTATTCTTAAAAGTGTGATGTTCTTTTTTGACTATGGTTTAATTTTCAACTCAGTGGGAGTAGCGACATTCTACTCTCACTATCCACAACCATAGCCATATGATCTTACCACACAATGTTGAGTACCAGGTGCCAACATTGCTACAGCAATGAAGATACCATTGTGAGTATCAATCAGCGTATCAGCGGTGCCTGGATTACTATGATCATAGAGATGAATACAGCCCTGACAAGAAATAACACAACACAGAATATTACTCCTGATTTTTAACAATACCATAACAGCAACTCGTACTAAAAGATTTATTCAAAAGTTCAAAAAGGTTTTAACTTGCTTAGTCTTGACAAAAATCTCTGTTACCTCTAAGAACAATTCTTGGATCAAAATAAGTGGCCATTTTGAATACACTCCAGAACCTTCCTTTCATTGACCTGTGTTCAACAATTAGTCAATTATGAAACATCTTTACCTCAACAGACTTGTAATCAAGTTTAAAACAAAACTAAGGGGGTATAGGGAACTGGGGCTACCTTGGGGCTGCCAATAGCCAGCTTGCTGTAACTGGGAGACCAACAAAGTGATGATATAGCTGCCCCACTACTCCAGCTATCCAGAACCTGTACCACGCCATGAGCTACATCTAAGCAACGTAGGATCCCATCTTCACCACCAGCAAAAAGACCTTCGCGATGAAGAGCTAGACAGTTCAAAGTGCCTTCCTTGATAGACAGACTCTTGCTTGCCGATTTGGTTTCTTCCTCTGTTGGGTCACAAGTGGTAATACAAATCAAGCACTTCTAAGTTATTTACATAATACAGTACTGAGACTTCCTGTTCATTTCAGCCATGGGGAATCCAAGAGCATGTGATGTATGAAATCATTCAGAAGTAATTGTTAAATCCTACAATGACCAGGGAGAAGACACAAAAGTTAATAGAAAATTGCAAATTGACATGATCACTATTTTTTTCATAACCTACCATCAGGGACAGGTGCCATTCTTGACAGAGCTTCAGCTGATTGTGCTCTTGAGGCTACAGAACCTTTCCTCTCATCAGGATTATACATCATGGTCACCACCTGAGTCTCTGTGTTATATTTCAGCAACTGGCCTCCCTCGCATCCACAGTAAACATCCCCAGTTGTTGTCCAGCACATTGACGTTGGGGTAACCTTCCTACGATTCTCATCAAAGTTTGCATCAAAGGTCTCTGCTTCTTCTCCAACCAGACCAGCAATTGCTGACTTGTCTGGATCGATTTTAAAGAGTCCTCCTTCGGTAGGAGGTCTGTCTGGAACATCGTCTACTCTCTTGGGTCTAGTTTCTGCCTCATCACAGTATGGAAGCCTGGCTTTGCTGTGGTTCAAGTATCAAAGGCACTTGTTACTCAGGCTTTTACTTGGCACACCAACAGCACTCCAATTTATTATTTGCGAAGTGAATTTCCAGCCAATAGGCTTCAAGAATACAAATATCAGTTGCAATCAATTGGCCATCCAGGGTGCATTTAAGGATGTATTCAGTGGCAGTACAAATGAATACTGGTGGTACGAGACTATCTGCAAGCCAAGGAATATTACTTACCTTGGTACGAGTGAGTAGAGCTTATCAGCCTGTTCAATGGTCCACACAGTCAGCTGCTTAGGACCAACGACACAGAGTTTGTGCCAGTCAGTAGGATTGAAGGAAACATTACTGGCTGGAAGACCCCACATTGATTTACTGCACAGCAATGAACCTGTCTCCCAATTCCTAGATAGATGATGTAACAATTTGACATGAATAGTCTATTGATAATGTTATCTTACTTACACTCCATACAGTCATATACTTTATACTTAGAATATGAAAACAGTGGCTACAATACAGCCTTTGCTTAACCTTTCAGATTTGTAATTAAAATACTTACCAGAGTGTCAGTGTAAAGTCAGGAATAGCTGAGCAAGTTGCAAGATATGGATGTGTGTGTGAGAATGCAAGAGCACTGTACTCCAACTTAGTCCCCCCTGCAAATTAAAGGAACAAAAACTAGGTAATATTTTGCTTTAGAAATGACGAAATGTAAATTTGTTTAAATATCAGTACTGAATAACAGGAATGATTCAAACGCAACCACAAAATTGTGGGTTTTCCTGAAGTAGGAAGTTTTTTAAGTCCTGGAAACTCACAAACCAAAGAGTGTAATCTTCGAATCTGGGTTTACCCATATCACCAGCAGTAACCTCATGATCACAACATTACCATTATTACTTAATACACTAACTAACCTTGACAGATGGCTTTCTGTGTGAATCCAGGATAGGAAAAGACAAAAATCCTTGGGTTCAGGCACATTTCAGAGAATGCAACAAGATGCATACTACCACTGACAGTAAATACTCCAATGCCTTGCCCTGGTGACGGATGGACAGACTCACGATGTGTAGTGACATCAATGAACTTGATACCATTGCTGCATACATGGCATACGGTGTTACGATTGATGAATAAGGCATCTGAGCCACCATAGCCTTGTGCCCACCTAGGTTTTGACACACAGAAAAGATTCAAACCATTGTAGAGCAGTTTGATGACTATTCCCACCAATATTAAACCAATATTAAATTCTGAAATTTCAATTTAGGCCCAAAGTTCTTCCAATTAGCAACAAATACGCTAAGCCTTGTCCTTTTGGGAGGGACAGTCTTAATTCTGCAAACGTTATGGTTAAGCTCTAAAAACATTGTCAAATAGACAATGCAACTGGAATTTGGTAAATGTTCCTAGTATGACATGGCAAGAAACCATTGAAAATGTGAAGAGCAATCCCTCTAGGCCCTATAACTAGAAATTTGACTTGGGGCTAGGCCCGTTCCCTTGTCCCGACCACAACTTGGTGAGAAATTTGTCAAAAGCAATTCTCACTGTCGGCATGACGTCACTTTGGCCTTTTGCCACACCACAAAGGGACAAAATTCCCCTTCCCGCATTTTGATGCTAGGCCTAGGCAGAAATACACTGCCAGGCAGTGCCACTCCACTGGCACTAGTTCCCCACATAGCATGGCCTAGCCTTAGGCTTTTCACTATGACATAGGAGGCCTAAATCATTGACCACAAGAAATTAGTGTAAGAATAAAAATGTAAACATTACAAATTCACTGTTGGAAGTGGTCTCCATCCCCCATTCAGCAAACCTACCCCCCCCACCGTTAAGACTTCCCTCTCCACTGACCCTTCAATGACGGTAGGCCCTACAGTGTTTGGAACTAATGTTAGGCATAAATCGGAAGGCAGATCTGATAGGACCTTGAGTTGACCCTAAGACACTGAACATGTTGAAAGAAATTCGTCTCTCAGTACACATTTATATTTTGTTTGTCAGCTACTTACGTTAATTCTAACGTTCCAATGTTATCCATATCTTGTATATGAACCACAAAATCTTTGTTTTGAATCGCACACTAACTTTAATGAAAATTTATTTTTCTTGCAAGCTGCAGAATCCAATTGAAATAAGTCCGAATTGAGTCCATGCATTACGTGCGTTCTCTGTTGCCAGGACATTAGCTGGTACTTCGTATTCATTGTTTAGATAAATAGTATCTTGGTTACCAGTTAAATTTCAGCTCCCTGACGTACTAAATGGTAACGATGCAAATGTTAACATGCAGTCAGTACAAATTAGTGTGGAAAGTTCACGTGAAGATGGCTTCCTGAAGACGTGACCGTTTTGTAACTTAGCTCTTTCCAGTCTTCTGAAGAGTAAGGAAATGCATGATGGCTTTTCAAAATTCGCTACGAGAAGTAAGCAGAAGGCTTCTGAGACCTTCTAGTTGCAACAGTAAGCTGACTTTTGCAAGAAATGTGTGCTGGCGAAGTGGAAGTTCACAACGTGTTGAACCATGGAGAACGTGGGTGCGTGTGACCCTGTTGCGGGGCCAAAGTCTGCCCGAATGTATGGACACGATATTCAAGTTGCTCCAAAGACAGTTGAACGTTTACGCATCGCAACAATTGCGTCGCATGGAAGGAGTGATGAGCCTTTATGGCTACCTTTACGCAGAGAACATGTTGCAGACTTTAGCTGGCAGTTTTTCCAGACGATTTGTGAGAGGAAAAAAGAGGCCCTTTTACTTTCTCTTCGGAGGAGCTTGCTTTGTGTGGGATAGACATAACAAAATATCAGATCAAGAAATGGATAGGTTAGGGCATTACAGAATTCTTTTGAATCAGCACAATTCTGGAAAGAGTTCCACATACGGATGCCACTTAACACTCTCTGCACAAACCTTGCGAGACTGGCATGACTGGTCCGAAAAATTCTACAAGTGTTTTCATTGTTTTCTGTATGCAATAACTAGGCCCTACATGTAACTGTTTTTCAATATCTTCCCTGCTAAATTTGATAATTTTTTTCAGGTCATGTTGTTGCTTTCAGATGGCCAATTATGCATACATATATGGAATCGTTTCCATAATTTGCAGGCGTCATAAACATGATAAATGTTAGTCCGAGTAACTTGGGCTCTGCAAATCGACTCTTGTAATATTTGGACATGGTTAGATGATAGTGGAGTCCAAGAACCTTTCATGGGTCTTCCTTTTCATAAATCGATTGTAGCTCATACACTGTTGTACCAGATATCAAGATCCCTAGAATTCACCTCCAAAACGGTTCTTAACCCTAACCATACATAATACTACAAATTACTACTTGCAGTAAAATGTAATACTGAGCGCTGTCGCTTGTAAGAGGAAATGACTTTATTGTTCTGTGAAGCCATACAGTAGAAAAGACAATGTACCATACAGTGCTGTGGCACTGTGAATGCATGGCTTTATTGTTCTCAGTATGAGTAACAATTGAAGTAACCTAGCCAGAAGTAATAATTTGTAGGTGCAAGGTGCTTCAGGCTCAGACTACTACTTAGTAATTTGAAGTTCTGTGTAGTGTAAGCCAAACAATATGCTTGGCGGTTAGGGTCAAACAGTGTTATTTGCCTACTGTACGATTCAGTGGGAATCAGAGATTCGAGTGATGGTGGTAATGTTTACTCGCGTATGGGAAGAAAAGAGAAATTTCCTGTTCAAATCAGAAAGGCCCAAAGTCACCATCTTCATGTAGCCATTCAAACTGTATGCTAACATACTTGGCGACGACATCATGACGTGCCGGTTGAGCTGGTGGACCATTTACAATAAGCATGTGGTATGTGTGTGCTGACAACTGTTTCCTGGGCAGTGCAATGTCCTGTGTACAACCCAATGTGGTCACGTCTACTTAACATTGCACCACTCAGGAAATAATTGTCGGTATGCACATGTAGACACCGCCACCCAACCATGTCCAAATGTTATTAAAAAGAAGCCATTCGTAGACTCCAAGTTACTCAGGCTACATAAATGTCAACATGATCAATGTGTTTGAAAAAGGGTGCCTGTTATTTTTAAGGGGGATTTTAGCCAGGAAAGGGGATTATAATTTATATAGGAACAGGTTTAAAATACAGGGTAGGTGAAGGCTTACTTGGTAGGAATTCCTCCTGACTTCTCCACCAGGGATTAACAAGAAGCCCGTCAGGAAAGTGGGAACTGATTTGATATGAGAATGGTTATTAAACATAGTTGTCCGTAGTTGTTGAACACTACTTTGAGGGTGGGTCAATGATGGTACGGTCTGATGAAGATTGTTCGATACATTGATGATTCTTGGGGAAAAAAAGAGCTTTCAACATTGATGATTAAAAATAACATCTGTCAAATTGCTAGGGTAAAATTGTTTATGACACTCTGAAATTGTGATGGTCTAACATGGAATTTCAAGTTTGCATTATTTTAAATACACAGCAGTCTTAGAAATTGTGACCAACAAACCTGTTGAAATAAACAGTGATGTAAGGATACCTACTTTTATATGGCTAATTCATACTTTAGAATAGTCTTGAACTATTTATCAGTGAAGCATCCAGCCTGATTGTTTTTTTATGTTTTGCAGTTCATTTTGCATTTGCGCTGTTTCTGCTAACAAAACCACTGCATTGCCGTGGCTGCAGAGACCATGAATTACAGTTTCCTTTGTTGGATTTTGCTTTGTTTTTCTTTAGTTGTGCCAGTGATTTTGAAATGATTCAGAAGCTGGAGAAGCTGGAAAGTGCTGACCATGTGACCAGCAATGCACCGTGGGATATCATCTTCAAACACAATCATCTTAAAGTCTGGAGACGACCTTTAAATAACACCTATCTGTATGAATACAAAGGTTAGAAGTCAAAGTGTCATGGTGGAAGTTACTATGGGAATTGCATTTGAGAAGCATTTGAAAAAGGTTGACATCCTTGATCATAGGAATTTGATTATGGTTAGAAAATCATAAACATACGATTAATATCAACTAAGAGCAGCTGTGTGTGGAATGTTAAGCAGGGTTGTGTTGAACAGATAAGCCTTTTAACAATGACACATTGACATTGTTTCAGATATTCATAAAATTGAATCTTAATTTCTGAAACTAATAATAATTTTATTGTCACAGTGCTAAGCATAAAAGCCAATGAACCATGCAACCTGAAACTCTCCTAAAAGGTACAATGTTTAATCAGGAGTACTTTTTCTATTTTCCTCCAAAAGCCTATGGCTGCTACATGGATATCTCAGCTAAATCCTTCTTTCAAGTCCAACTAGATCTTGAATATCGGCAAGTATGGGACAAGTATGCAATTAAGCTGGATGTGGTGGACCGTGATAATGAGACGGGGTCAGAGGTCATCCACTGGGTCACGCACTACCCTGTAAGCAGACTTTATATACACGTAGTGGTTTCGATGAAAATATTGCTTGATTTGTCTCAATAACCCAGTGGTTTTGGCAAAGCTGGGTAAAATTTCTTTTTGATTTACTCTGTCTTAATTTTTAATTGACTTACCCTTGTTATTGTGTCTCGGACTTACTACTTTCAGCCCTCTGTGTCCATTACTCAAGGTCTCGGTCAAGAACTATTTTTATGAAGAAAGGATGTGTTCTTGAAACTATGCTCAGTGCTTTTTACATGTAACTACAGAGGTACCATACTTCGTATAATTTTGCTGATTTTTACTCTGTTACAGTTCCCGATGTACAGTCGAGACTATGTCTTTGCCCGTCGCTATAAAATTGATCATGCCAATAATGTCATGACCGTTGTCTCCAAGGCTGTGGACCATCCTAAAGTTCCAGCCAGTAAGAACCATGTCCGAGTCAGTTCTTACTTCTCCCAGATGGTAATTAGACCCCATCGAAGCTTTGAGGAGGTAGGTTGAATTGAAGATCACTTGGACTGATGACTTTTATTTGTATTAACCCTAACAGTCCTCAGTCCTCCTACAGGTGAATGATTGAGGAGGGTTAGGGTTAAGAAATGAATATTTGTCAGCAAGGCGCATGATAGAAAGCTATCTAATCGCCATTGTTCAAAAGTTTGCTGAACTTCATTGTGGTAAAGAGTAAATAGTTTATATTAGGTCAGACTAGTACATTCCTTGTACAATGTGGTAGCCCAGGTTCTGATTTTATATAATACACCATGTTGATAGCATTTGTGAGGTCCTACGTGATCATGTTCATTGTCCTTCATGAGTACATCTAGAAGTGAAATTCCTTCATTTTCTTAGGTGAAATAATTGTAGTGGCTGTGTTGTTAACCAGTTAACGTCAGATTTTCTTACCCCCCCAACTGCATGGGGCAGGTGTTTTAATCTGCAAATTCTTCAACCTTGCCATTATGCTTTGACCCAACCAAGCATGATGTGTTAAGTTGATTAATTCAATTGCATGATTTGTTGGTTCAATTGACAGAATGGATTTGACTACATACTGACGTACCATGATGACCCACAAACCTCCTTTCCTTCCTCATGTGTCAACTGGATGACAGAATCAGGTCAGAATTCATATGTTATCATTCACTGATGTTAGCACACAGTTCATATCTTGTAGCTAAGTGCCACAAGAAAAATTTTGTAAGATTTTCGAGATTATCCTCAGCAAACTATGCATAAACATATTACAATTGGCCTTTTGCGAGTTAAATTTGAATAAAATCTGGTACACTGAGTTATCTGATTGCACATAAACATAGCAATTTGAATTCCCCAGACTAAAGACACTGTTGCTATACCTCGTGATTCGGGGCAAGCTTTTACATAGCAACCACCATTTCTGGAATGGACTAGTTCCGTTTTGCCCTTCTTATCTATTGAAAACAGTGTATTGGTGCAAGGCGTCTCTTATGTACATCACTCAAAAAAAGTTAACATCACTTTTCATTTTGTGCATACTTTTTTATATGAAATATTTCACTGCTAAAAATTTGCATTGAACCATTTTACAAAATTTTTTATTCAAGTGAGAACACCATCTAGACAAACAAAAAATGAAAGAACTAGACCCCCATTGCTTGGAAAAAATTACTAGTTGAGAAAAAGTGGTCCTAAAGTTTTTTGAGTGGTATATATTTAAGCAAAAGCTTGCCCAGAATCACTAAGTATAGCAACAGTGTCTTTAGTATGAAGAATTCAATGTTCCGGTGAATTTTTATGAAGAATTCAACGTTCACATCAATTTTTATGAAGAAATCAATGTTCAGTTGAATTTTTATGAAGAATTCAATGTTCAGGTGAATTTTTATGAAGAATTCAACGTTCACGTCAATTTTTATGAAGAAATCAATGTTCAGGTGAATTTTTATGAAGAATTCAATGTTCAGGTGAATTTTTATGAAGAATTCAATGTTTAGGTGAATTTTTATGAAGAATTCAATGTTCAGGTGAATTTTTATGAAGAATTCGATGTTCACTTGAATTTTATGAAGAATTCAATGTTCAGGTGAATTTTTATGAAGAATTCAATGTTCAGGTGAATTTTTATGAAGAATTCGATGTTCAGGTGAATTTTTATGAAGAATTCAATGTTCAGGTGAATTTTTATGAAGAATTCAATGTTCAGGTGAATTTTTATGAAGAATTCAATGTTCACGTGAATTTAAGGAACTCATTGTACCAGATTTTAATTGAATTTAACTCGCAAAAGGCTTATTAATTGTGCAAGACATCAGCACTTTTACTCTGTGACCATGACCAATCTGGTAGCATTTCTGTAATGCAGTGAAGTCAGTTTATAGCTACTGACAAATCAGAGTGTAGCTTGTATTTCAAACCCAAAGCTTTAATTGACAGGCATGATTACTTGCATATAATTTGCATACATACAGTTATAAGACGTTGTTTGGGATGGTCTACATTGACCATATTCTCAAATTAGACAATGCTTGAGCCAAACTGATTTTATTTTCCCCAACCCCCCCCCCCAGGTATGCCTGACTTCCTTGAGAAGCTTCATCAAGCTGCTAAGCAATATGACAGCTACAACACTCCTCAAGCAATGATAAGAGACCTTACTAGTTCATCAATTGTGTCTGAGAATCAACGTTTTGGTCAACCCTCACCAGGCCAGTATTCTATGTGAAGGATGCCATCAACATCAAAGGTTCTGTATACAGAATAATTGAGACCCCAAACGCCTCAAAGTAAGTTGTTTTGAAACACAATTGGGGGTTAGATAGGCAGGTGTGATGTGTACTGGATTTTAGCAAAGAAGTTATGAGTTGAAGGGCTCACCTTGAAGCCTTGTCAACCTTACAAAATGTGCCAAGAGCTTCTCTTTGAGGCTGTAATCAGTCGATTTTTTGGATGATGCTCTGTATTTCATATGAAAAGTTCACTGTCTTGCCATCCTGATATCACTACATTGTGTGCCAAGTCATGCTGTACTTTGTAATCTGGTGAGTAGAAGGCTGGTAAAAACCTCTGTCAATCATCCATTGTCTAACATGTCCCCCTGTTGCAATATGAGTGGACCCTAATGAGCCATACAAAGATCAAACCCTGGATGCTGTTTAAACTGCATGAAACTGAAGATGGCGCTATTTTCATTTCCCTGGAGAACCAACATGAAGGAGTTACTGAATGATAACATAGAGGACGATAGAATCTCGGTCAGTCCTCTGGAATCAATCTGAGTTAGAGACACAGTGACAACAAGGCTCATTCAAGAATCCACCGTTCAATATAGTACATGTTCATGCAGGAATGGCAGAGGAGCTTTTATGGTCTTGCAACCAGAGATCAACATCACAGAAGCACGGATTGGTTTGCAGTGAGTGGACCAATATCAGTGATTAGTTGCAGTAGAAGCCTACAAGAATACAGACCTCTTGGTTGAATGGTTAAGCTGAGATTGACAGCTTTTCATGGTGGAGGTAGCAAGTAAACTAGATAGGTTTGCAGTAGCACCATGGATATATCTCTTTTTTGAGTATGTGGGGTTCTGAAAAGAACCAGTGGTACATGTACTCAGCGTTTCGCGAAAGTATGCTCGGACAAAGCATACTGTCCGAAACGTTGAGTACCACCGGTTCTTTTCAGAACCCCACATACTCAAAAGAAAGATATATCCATGGTGCTACCACAAACCTATCTAGTTTACTTCAACAGTTAACTTTAAACACACTTCCCAGGAAATTACACAATGAGTTACTTTGGTATTAATAGTTCTTGTCTGATTGGTTGATAAACAATTTTTCAGAGTAAAAATATGTGTATTATATGTTCATGTATGCACCATTTAAACCATAACCCCTCATAAGAGAATAGGAAATTCGCTGGGTTTATTTAAAATTTCCTGAGAAAAACTTCCTTCCATTTTTGCTCCCCCTATACAGAATGGCATAACAGGGTTGATACTTCGAAACATTCATCGAAACGTGAAGAGACACGTTCATGTAATAGGTTTGATACCGATGTCTATACATGTACAACGTGCAAACTAAGGCTAGTACTATTTCATGTAGCATTCATGATTTGTCATGGATATTCCCAGATCCACTTCATGTCGATTCTTTTATTTGTATTGTTTTTATCATTCAGCTACATTATGGACAAGTTAATGCCTAACTATTCAATGGAAGCTTGCACTAAATGTGATGCATTTCATGTCCTGAAAACATGTAAAATAATTAAATTTTGTTCTCCAGGACAAGTCTGCATAAGACAGGTTTAATAAATTGGGCACTTGGGTGCTGTATTAAAGAAGGGCTGCCTTTCTTTATTATAAAAAAATGATTCTTTCAATTTTTGGATGTTTATGTCATTTCACAAAAATGATCTTCAAAAGGTCAATGCTTGTAGAGTCTTTTGCATTTTTGTGGATCGATGTTTACTTTTGATTCACTGGAAGGGTTAAGCACTTTTTAATCAATTAAAGCTTCAAATTACTTTGGTTGATATCTTAATAAGTAATTGATATTTCTTTTTCAAATTTTCAATGCAAATGAGACAATGAGTAATAGAGTACCGAAGTTTGACATCACTGTGAACCAGAAGTGCAGTGCAAACGAATGGAGAACGCGCGCGTGTTGGTTCATGCGCTGGTTCTCGCGCTAATGCCTTTTACACACTAATTGTACATGTGACGTACTGAAGTGTGATGTCACTGTGAACCAGAAGTGTAGTGCAAACGAATGGAGTACGCCCGCGTTGGTTCATGCGCTGGTTCTCACGCTAATGGCTTTTACACACTAATTGTGCGTGTGACCTATTCACTTTGGTAAGCTCTAGTAATAGTTCTTTGAGTCTGAAATCTTTGATCAAACCTCATTACACGTTGCTGTGTAGAATTCAGACACATACATTCATTGAATTGATAAACAAGAAAATATGTTTTTCCAAACAAGTAGAATTTTCTGTTATTTCCATCAATGCAGTGTTTTAAATTGTGTAAGGTTGCTGGAAACAATAAACATATGCGATGCATGAAAGAGTTATGCACTTGGTTTATTGCTCAGTCTTTGTCGGCATTTTGGCAGGGGTTTTAACCACTTGCTGCCGGGGGACCTGTTTTCGAGCACATAGGCTTAATACACGAAGCCGAGGAGCCCGAAACTGGGACAAAAGAGCTGGGCCTTATAACAAAAGACCGTGCTTGGCACGAAAGACTGAGCTGCTGGGCATTACCAACATTTTTCCACTCTCAATAGTGGAGATAATCCAGTCTTGTTTTGAAACAGTGTACCACGGTTTTGGGTGTCTATTGCGAGTGGATTACCACTGGGTACAAAAGCGCTCCAGCACTGCAGTGATGAGCCACACAGCACCGCTGCATGCTAATCTGGCCCCTGTTGAAAAGAGGCCAGCAGCGCTCTGTGCCAGGTTCATGAACAAAAGAAAGTTATATAACACCGCACAATCTGGGCTCTTTTTACAAGGCTGCAGGCCTGGCTGAAATACTTGGGCGTCAATAGATTTTGTCTGTCAGGCTACAGTGGCCACCAGACAGTAATTCATGTGGGTGTAAATGTTCATTAATTGAAATGATGAATTTTTGAAGATTTTTGAAAACAGAAAATCTTGAAATTCAACCCGGCAGCATGTGGTTAATGTTTGTTGGGAATATTTCAACTTTAGCAGAAGTTCAAAATCTGCTATACATTTGTGTGTATTTTGACTGATAAAGACCTGGTATTGGTTGTTGGAATCTGAACATCCCTGTGGAGACTTTGACTCTTTTTTATGGAAAATAGTTCTCCAAAATTTGTGGTTAAAGTTATCCCAGACTTGATGTTTTGAAAACTCACCAAGAGTGTTCCAGTGTAAAATGTAAGCAGCAGATATTGTCCAATTTCTTTGAAGCCTCTTGCATTTGTTGTGAGAATTTACTTCATTCAAAAACAGATTTGATTTTTTCAATCATTTGTTTACAACTTTGGGTTGATTTAAAATTTGAAATGCTTTTATATGTGAAGCCAACTTCTCTTTAATGTTAGAGTTATCAATCTTTCAGTTCCATTTCTGTTTGCCCTTCAAAGTTAAATAGGTTCATAATGTGGACTTGTAAATATACCCTTCCCCAACCCCTTGTCTGTTTTATTTGATAAAATTCCATACTAGAAGTGTTTTCCCTCAAGTTCTCAGCATTTTCAGATTGGCAGATAACTCCTACAGGTGTCTCTGTATATGGAATGAGCTGAAAGAACAGTTGATTTCGCCGGGTGAGTGAAACATCCACTTTTCCTTCGGGATTATTCATTAGCTCAAATTGTTGTCAAATCAGTGATGACATGTTTTTAAATCATTCCCTCAGACTTAATAAGTTTCTAGCCAATCTTTCTTCTGACAGTGTGATTTTCACTGATACACGTTAAGCTGAATTTGAACCAGTAGCAGGTTTGGCCGTCCCCTTTTTGCAGGTTGTTTACTTGGGTGGAAACCAAAGGATCAACCTATTAATGGCTGATGCCTGATGGTCTAACAACTGGCCCCCATACTTTGAAATCGTTCCGTTGCAGGTGCTTTGAACATGTAAAAGTTTTAGATTATACGCTTACTTCTTACGCAAAGTTATAGCTTTGCCATGGTTAAGGATGCTGGGTGACTAAGTTTTACTGCTCATACAATTTACCTAATGCCAGCAGCTGACAAGAATTTAAAAACAAACTGAGTGAATCCATCCTTGTTGAATCCATTTATCAAGGTCAAATTACACTGTATGTTCTATCTGCTTTGTTTACAGGTGTTACCGATAATTTTCACAATGGTCTCAAGCTGTGTCTTCATCATGTGCTTCTTTAGCATGCTCATAGGATTGGAGGCCCAAGAAATCTTCGGTATTTGAAGTTTCCCTTTCACCAATGTATTGTTGCCTGAATGGTATTCGTTAAGCATTATATGAGAGCTTTTCAGAAATGGTTTTTCTGTAAGGGTGGGACGTCAAATCCATGGCATCCTGCTGAACAAATGAAGATGTTGTGCCTGCTTCACAACCAAATTTACCAGACAAAGCTAACGAGCTGAAAAGTTATTTTGTGATGGAAACAGCAAGCCATGACATGCTCCACAGCCAATCAGTCACTCATGATTGAATATTTGCATTGGAGACGTGTAAATTGTTATTTACTGAAATCAATATTTAAGTCAGTAGCTTGTGACATATGATTGTTAAAATTAACCACTAACCAACTTTACTTGTCTCACAGAAGCGCCATACATCAAGAGAGAAACAGACACTCATCTTTACAAGATGGCAGGAGACACTGCTAAATTCAGATGTCTTCTGGATGGCAACCCAAAGCCACATATCCAATGGTATGATGAAGATGACCATCTGCTAGAGACAGTTGGGAGGACAACGGTTAAACAAACAACACTGACCATCAGCAACCTTGAGGGAGAAGACCGTGGAAGGTACAGATGCCAAGGAAGTAATGACTTTGGAGTCATAGAAATCAGCTTTACATTAGAGGTCACTGAAAGGAGTGGTGAGTGATGGAAATGTTTCATCTTTTTACATTGAGGTGTTCTTGGCTGATACTGACCTTTGAGAGCATTAAATATGTTGCTGGTACTTGGAGAGACCAAGTACAGTAAAATTTCGATAAGTCGAAGCTCAGGGGAATGGACGAAAAGTTTGAGTTATCCGACGTTCAAGTTATCGAAAGTTACATGCTTCAGTGCACATGTAACCTTACTGGCTTACAGCAGTTGGCCTGCAAGCTGAGTCGAATACGAAGTGGATTTTAGGCTATCCCTACTGTGCAAGATTTCCTCAAACATCATCATTAAACATGTTTTTATGTGGTACATTAATAAACAATAAACCAATGAAGTTATGTACCGGTACCTGTGTCTACGTCTTGAGAATTGATCGGGCTGTTACTGCATAACGCAGCGCGTGGGCCAGTCGGTCAGGGTTTCCGTGCTGTGTCACGTGATACATGTACAAGGCGCTTGAGGGTGCATCATTCGTGCCTGATTTAGGCTGCATCCGAATCTCTTGTCTAGAGCTAGGTCTTGGTATTCACTCCATTGGAAATGCATGGAGACGTGCAGACAGTAGACCTAGCCGTAGCTCTGAAAGCCTGTGTCAGACACGGCCTTTACGGTTGCGGTTGATGCCCACCCATTGCTTGTCAGCGTGACAATGGCAGCCCGTGTGAATATGCTCAGCTCATCAAAGAAAAGCTGTGCACGTGACAGTAATGACTCATAATGAAGGCAAGCGTTCTTTCATCACTTTTTATTCATCATTCTTCAGTGGGTTTTTTTTTATTGGCCTACCAAAACTTCGAGATAAGCGGCTTTAGTGGTATTGACGTTTCAAGTTACGGATAGTTTATTGTACATAAAGGCCTATTCTTTTGTCGGGAATACAGAAAGACATCAAGGTAAACGGAGTTTCGACTTAACAGGCTTCAACTTATCGAGATTTTTCTGTATCACGGAACACTTGCGCAGTGTGTGCCAATAAACACCTGGTCTCACTGTCATGCAGCACTTTTCCGCGCTGCCGCATACTCTATGTGATGTAAGCATCTGTATCCCGCGAAAGCGTCATCCGATTTACAGCATAAGGAACTGGAGCAGTGCGTCATCTTCAACTTGGAACACTGTGTCCAGGTGGAATGAACGTGGATCTTTCTGCGTTCATTCAGAACTGAATCTGCTTACCCTGACATATATTCACAGTTTCCGAAAGCTCGGCAATAAGATAAATTGAGAGCACTAATAAATACATGCTTGTCAATATTCTGATCACAGTGCTACACAACCCTTTCATAATTCTCTGGTGTTAGATCTCTGCTCCTCTTATGCAGTACTCAACAAAAGGTACCAACGTCACAGCTGTTTTAATCTTGACTGTAGTTTTCCCTTTTCTAATGCCATTGTTGGGATAATCTTTAACGGGGCAGTGGTATTGTCAGCTTAATTTTTATCTTAGTTCTTTGATATTCATTTGTTTACTCAGGCATCACATTTTTGCTGCCTTTCAAAATGCGACTTCCCAGCTTGTTACTTTACTGCCCAATACTGATCAACCAGATACCATTGACACTTTTGCGATATTCAGAATCTTAGTGGACCCATCTCAAACACTGTAATTTCAAGTATCACTGTACCGAAACTGTCAGTCAAACTTGTAAATCAATATCCTGCTTAAATGCTTAGTGGATTTTGTCTCTGTTCACCATGTAATTAATGTCTGTCACACTTTGTTTTGTGGCTTCTTTTATTTTAGGTGTGCTTTTGACTCGTCCTTCCATCCTCGACTTTAACAACAAACTGGCAATTGTTGGGAGAAATGTTTCATTTGAATGCAACGTCACAAGTGACACATCACCAAAAATTATATTGCTTACAAATTGTGAAGAATACCTTACAATGGAGCAAGCCTTCCCTAACAGACACACCATCATAAATGTAAGAATTTTTTAATGGTGTACATGTGTGTTTCAGTGACTTTATTTTTGACTTAGCTTTGTTTGGTGTAATGTCATGTTGACGAGAAGACATCATGATAGGTGCACTTTGTAAATTTGGAAGAAAAGACAGGTTAGAAATATTACAGTCATTCAGCTGCATAGGATTGATTATTTAGAGTGAAAATTATAATTTGGATGTTTATATTCCACTTGTTTACTTTTTACAAGATGACCCAACATAGACCTATCACAACCACCAGTGACCTTTCTCTGTGTATGAGCCTTTTGGTTTTCAGAGATAATCTGATTTTGCTTTTATCTTTTCATGTCACAGAAAACTTACCGGTCTGGACTCCGCACAGTTTATTCCAGCATTACTACTATTCATAATGTAGCATTTGTTGATGCAGGGGTTTACAGATGCGTTGCTGGTAACCTGTTGGGCATTTCCTCCAAGAATGCTACTCTCACCGTTGTTGAAGGTTAGTTTGCTAATCCATGTGCTTTCTTTAGAATGATCCATATAAGATGAAATAAGAGTCCTACAACGACACACAGACAAGGAACATAGGGGCTGTATTGGTATGTACTGTACACCTAAGTCAACATATGAGTTGGACAGTGAACAACCTCTCATTTCTGTCTAATTTGATCATAGATATAGTGAAGTTTAAGTGTTGGTGTGAAAGTGCATAAAATAAAAGCCTAACATATCTAAGGTCCATTAGATCTAAAATGGAACATGGGAGAACTGAAGTTCGGCTTTAAATTTTACATTATATATTTGTGGTTTGACCTCTTTTTGTAGATTCAGCATCAGCTGAGCTAAGCTTACTGGAGCACTTGATCAGCAAACAAGACATTCCTTTGGCTGATTTGATCATAAAATTATTGAAATTCAAGTGTGATCATGAGTAGAGTCCAAGCCTTAAGATTGTTGACTTCTTACATTAGAACATCTGTAAGACTTTGCTAATCCAATACATCTGTGCTGGGAAACATCCCTTAAATTTGTAAATTTGTTACATGCATGAGTGCTGCATGTTTTCGTAGTGAATATTGCTAGATTTTGATAACTTACTGAAATTCTAAATCTGATAAAATAAGATCTGTCAACAGTGTATTCATTAATATATATTTCAAGAGATATATCTGTTTGGCTGATTGTAATTAACATTTACGTCACTTTATTTCAAAGCTTGAGAGTTAGACTCTCATTGTAGTTGTGACAGAATTCTCTTTAATTTAGAATCAAAACATCACACCTTAATTTTAAAGCTAACTTCAATCATTCCTCTTTCATCCAGAACCAAAACGTTTAAAGAAAAATGGGTCAAAAATTGACTTTCGACTTAATCACTCATTACCATTTTTGGTATGAGGATAAAGGCAAATTTAATCATATTTTGGTAATTAAATGTTTGAATATTTTATAAGCTCTGTATTTTCCCCATAGATCACATGGTTTGCTTATGTCAGACAGATTTTGCTTGAGTTTTTTTTTTAAACCTTTTATTTTGATGAAGCCAAAGTTTACTTCAAATGTAAGGCTAATCCCTTACAATTTGATTTAACTGACAAAAATTTCATTATTTGTCAAAACTTTGTTCGAATGCTTTTAAGCGAAGTAATATGAGAAAAAAATTTGCCTTGCATGTCTATTGAATTTCAGAATTTACTTTTTCTCGCTTAACTGTTACAAATGCATTTTCAAGAGAGATCGTCATTTTGTTGTTATCTGCACATTCCAGAAACATTTAGTTCAGTAGAACACTGACTATTATTAGTAGGGGAAGCCTTGTCAGTATTTTCTTTATATTTCTCAACACATAAAAGCCATGGTTCTTTGGGGGGGGGAGGTTGTCACCTTAGCCGATTCTATTTGTAATTCTAGTAACATTTTAATGCCATGAAAAGGAAATGTATAACATTGCATGGAATAGACATTTTGGAGCTCTTTTCTTCACTTCAAACTCTAGGATATCTGCCATTGGTATGTTCCAAATTTCAGTCAACAAGACAAACAAACTTTCAATTCAATTTTCATTGTTTAGCCATTTTACTCTTAAAAACTGCTATATACAAAAGTTTATATGGCCTCAATAGGCAATAAAAAGCAGCTTGTTAGAAAATCCCCGACATTAGTCAAAAGCTCAAAAACAGAAAGGCCATGTCTGACCTATTTGGCTGTGGCTTGAAATTACACACATGTCTACAGTCACCATCTAATGCAGTCATGATTAACATTTCAAACCACAGCCCAAGTTACAACTGATGCTTGAAAAATCTTTGGCAAGGGTGTGAAACATGTTGGAAACTTAAATATAACATGGAAGGATAAAATCAGTCATCAGTGGCTGAACCACCAATACAACTGCTTTAGGGAGCACCACAGAAAGTTCTTATTGCGCCCTCTAATGTTATACTCCGTTAACAGAAACTGGGGATCAAAAGCAAATAACCTGAACAACTGGAACACAGACTAATACCGAACTGACTAAATGGAAAGGATGAACAAATGAACAGTAATAAGGAACAGTTGGCAGTGAACAAATAGAAAATCAAAGAGAGATTATGGCAGTGATTGTTTTTAGAGAACAAAGTAAATGTATAATTAAAACTTGGTTACCAGTCTAATATTTACGTGAAAAAGTATAGGCGTTTAATATTTACGTCAACATATAATTTAGCCACAAATATTTTCACTAAGAGGAATGAGGGAAAAAGCCTGAAATGTTGTGGCAGATAGTAACAAAAAAGGCACAGGCATAATGGATTTCAGATGTGTCCAGCACCAAGTCATTTTAAGTACTCCAAAAATCACTTGCATGACATGCTTCAGAGCTGAGATACTTCTTGAAAAAAAAATTAATGCAGTTAATATATTCTTTAAAAGCAGTCATAATTTGAAGATAACAAAAAGGCATAAACATGTTTCTTGAAGAGATCTGGAATGAAAAGGACACAGATCTCAGGATGTCACCACAGGGCCCTGCAATGACGTATCTTCATTGTGACATCAAATCTTAATTACACTAAACTCTTCAATTTACAAATCCACCCATGTTGATATCAAAGGCTATCAACACATAGATAGGAAGTGGAGGTGAGGATGACGTATTATCTATATTTAAGTCCATCTTACAAGATCAGTCCAACTCTTAGACAAAGGATTGAAAAGATTCTGCAGAATCCAGTCACTGGTACTTTCATGGTCGTCAAATGTTTTACATGTAAGCAATAAACCACTGGTCTTCTGCACAGCAAAAAGTAGTAGAATAGGGCCTACTTAGGAAGGTTCCTTCAAACTTCCGGGGGGGGGAGGGTTGGAAAAAAGCTTCAAATACTGGTTAAATAGCTACATGCTTCATAAGACCAATAGCTTCAATTACTGCATTTTTCAAAAATGCAATGAACCATATCACTGCAAGACTGATTGCCTCGGACAATTAACCAGATTTACCAGTGGCTAATTTTCCATGACACATCATGAATTTCCAGAAATTAAAATTCGATTTAAAATTCTGAGCAGTGATTTTCTAATCATGTCCACCTTTTCTCCACTTATGGTTATAATGATTAATTAATCTTTTAAAAATAAGTTCTATTTAATATATATTTATATATACATTCAGCTGTACAGATACTGGTATGTAAACACTATTTATAAATATGATGTCGCCTGTTAAGACAAAATGCAAAGCATTGTGGGAAATCAACATTAGTGGCAACTTGACAAGAAAAAATTGATAGATTAGGACATAGTCATTGGTTTCCCGATGTATGATTTGATTTACACATTATTATGTTGACTTCACGCCTAATTTGGTAGAAATTCCATACAAACTGAGTGGCTATAACGCCACGTCTAGTACTTAACATTTAACAAAACAGATCATAAACTCATGTTTTAAAGTCCCTCCCCCCACCCAATGACTGTGACCCCTGGATCAGTTCTTAATAACCTCATATTGTAACATTTTCTTTAAGCAGGTCAGGGGGGTTCAAAGGTCATCCCACTGTACCACTTACACTGTACCAAGACACCATTTTGTAAATAACACACTCCTTAAATTTACACATTTCTATGCAGGAGTATACTGAATGCTAGCAATGGTGAACGACATGATGCTGATGAACATGTTGATGTGTGTGTACCTTCCCACTAGACACACTGCCACTACTGTTAAGTGTGTCGGAGTAGCTCTCCGCACTCATACCCAAGTCTGTATATCTGTTGATAGCTACGCCCTCTCGACTGGGTGGGTGATATGAGTGTACCCCTCCTAAGCTTGATGGGGGTGAGGTTAAGGGTACACTCTGTTCACAGTCTGATTGATTTGGATGCACAGGGGTGTTGCGTTTATGCTCCGCCCGTACTGCAAGGTGATTGGACGGTTGGTTAGTAGCAGGGCTTGCATAGCCCTGAATATTTTTGTTGCGGTGGTAGGTACAGACAGCTGCCCCAAGACAGAATAGAACAGCAAAGGCTAGAGGGATGGTGATGAGTAGCACTTTCTTAGTGGTGTCGATATCCTGTGGATTCTGTTTGGCAACGACATCATTCATATTGATATTAACATTGAAATTGTTATTTCTACCTCCTGGTTGTGATCGTCCATTGGGATCTGAAAAACAAACAATTAATAACCACCATCAACTCACTTCTCTTTAAAGATGTTCACTAGAAAAAAAAGGCTTAAGCTGCAAAAAGAAATAACAACACCACCAGTGTTAAGAAACCAACCAGATTTGGTTGTAAACACTCAATGTTACGAATTTGATATCTGACCCAAACTTATAAATTAAGCTATTAACTATTTCTTTCAAAATCAGAAGATGAACCAGATAACTGAACAACCTGGCTGAAAACAGCTTTACACATCTTTGACAAATATAGCTAGAAGAGCCATCATGAGCAAACAATGCTCACTTGCTATCTAAAGCAGATAATGATATTCTTACCAAACCAATGGAACAAAATATGCTACAGACAGACTGTCTAACGAACAGACTAACTTACCGGGTAATACTTCCAGGAATGCACTCTTCACACTATAACCATTCGTGTTAGCCCCAAGACATATGTACATGCCACTATCCTCCTCAGTAGCATGCGAGATCATAAGTTTATTCAAGTAGGATCCATCTGGTCTTGACCACACCTCACCAGCTGGCAATACCACAAACTTTTGCCCATCCATGTCGATGGTAGCATTGATACGTTGGTTGCCGTTGTGTGGTTCAACTCGTTTCAACCACTGGATGTGAGGGGGCGAATCACTGCGGACTCGACACTGGAATGAAGTGGTTCCTCCATAAGCGACAGTGGTGTTGACTGGATGTTCACCTTGTAACACTGGCTTAGCATGCGCTTGATCTGGTCAAAGCAAGCAACAAAATTTCTACTAAATGTACTTCAGTCTGTCCTCAGTTGGTCTTAATTGTTTATAAGATTCAATGGCCAAACACAGAAGAAACTTTAAAATATGTTCAAATGTTGGCTCATTGGTGTAAATTACCAATTAACAAGATCTTATCTTGCTTTACAGTAAAATGGGTATGAAACCATTATTTATTTTTAAATCAGGTTTGAAATTTTTTACCTAAACCAGCCAAAATCAACCAGTACACTTGAATCCAATGGTATTTGTGCTTCAGCATCAAAGAATATAAAATCCTGTGTAAGACATTAGGGCTCTCTTTTCCTCATGCAAAATTCTCCACAATTTGGTGATTTTTGATGGATTTCCAGAAATTTACCCAATGCTTTTGTACAGCTACATTTTAGTGACTAATACAATTATTGTATCTCACCTACAACCTCCACTGAGTATGTAGCATTGATTTGACCATTTCTATTGAACACAACACATGTGTAGTCTCCAGAATCAGAGGCCTTCAGACTTTTCAGTTTGAGTGTAAAGGATGCCCTCTGTTCTTCTAGCTCCTCCTCTGTCAGTGTTACTCCATTTCGCATCCAGAGGACTTGAGGTTTCGGGTAGCCAGTTGCTGCACATTTCAGCTTCACTGAGCTGTTCAAGGGGCACACAAATTTCTTTTTTCTCATCTTGGAGGGCTGTGAAAATTTGGGTTTAGCTGGCAAGGAAAAACAGGTGCAAAATGTGACAGGTTGACAGTCACAAATCTGATTAACATATTATGGCAAAATACCTGGTGTAAATGATTGAACTATCATGAAAAACTTGAGGAATCTGTAGATGTTTTAGGCAAATAAATGGCCCTTTCCCACTGGAATACTCATCCCCAAGGTGAGTTCCAGTGGGAAACATGGCTTCTGTTCATCCCCGAGTCACGCTGGGCCACCCCCAAGATTTGGTCAGTGGGAAAGACCTATTATTGCTCATGAGACAGAAAACTAATCATACACAGTTACAAGACCACTATTTATGCTGTCTCATCTCAATAAAACAGATTCATACTGATTTCCAAAGTAATCTGATTACTAAAAGTACTTGCTGAATTTCAGTCTCAAGATGTGATCTATTTTCTTTGAGTACCATCCTTCTCTAAACTCTAACTCACTTCCTGTAGGTGGTTTGCTTCCTGTTGGGGCTTCTGGTCTCTCAGAGTTCTTGACTCTTCCAAGGTTCCGTCTGTCTTCTAGAAATAAATACAAGAATCTGCTATAAATCTCGTGGTTACACAGCAGGAATTTTTTTTAATCAAAGTTTTTGAAAAAGTGTACCATTTTCTTTAATTGAACTTGAATTTGAATCATAAATCAAATCTAACCTGAGATGCTCATACCAACAGAGGGCCCCCTTTAATCCACTCACTCAATCAATTTCTATCACTAAGGTTAACAATGAAACATTGGAGCTGCAAAGTTAAAACTTTCACTGGTTGCTGCAGCAACCATGCCAATCCCTTACATTTCTGTGTCAGAGAGATGTCACTGGCCCAGAAAAATGACATATTGCAATGATTAATAGTCTCACCAATTTTCAACTCAAGACAGTTTGCATTTTGTAAGTTCAAGTTACTCATGTCTATTGTGACAACTGCCATAAACCTCACATCAGTGAGATGCCAAATGAAGAATTCACCATCTGAGCAAAGTAACATAATGCTGCAATTCACAACCACGACCACAAAATCAGTACATGTACATCAAATAGATAATCTCAAACTTGTTTTCCAGCAGACACAAGCCCAATCTGTATTATATAACACACTTTTTCAAGCTGAATCTGGAGTTGTCTCTGCTCATTTCATGCATTAAACTGTAAACATGGCAAGCAAAACAATACCCCAAGACGAACTTGCTCAAACAAGCTCAATTTTTGTTTGTTTTGCTTACAGTCAAAGCAGTTTCGTTCCAACAAGGCTCCTTGTTCAATTTACAGAAACATCAGCATTAGGCGTAAATATTTAGGATTCACTGCAAGCAAACACTTTTCCAAAACCCAACTTGCATTGCATCAATCCTTTCAACTTTTCCATGAATTTCCCTTGGTCCAGATTATTCTAAGCATCTCATTATCTGCACCTTTAACTATACTGAACACTGAAACAAAATACTCCACTGCAGATTTTCATTGCTGTGGACTCCTAAGACCAACTGGAGACAACATGCTGCTCTGTTATTTATCAGCAAACAAGAAAGAGGAAATGTACTGAAGATATTGATTCCAACTGCATTAACGAAGCAGTAGGCTATTCATTTTAACTTCCGGACAATCCATTCCTGTCTAATTATTACATTAATCAATTTTCATTACCACAGAATATCATCATGCTATGTTAGCAAGCAATAAAGTGTTAAGCAATTTCATGCTGACTGCCTGTAAAGCAGGGTTCAATAGGGAGGGGTGTTTTCATTTAAAAAATTGTCCACCACGGGGGATGAATTTCTGCAAGAAAATACTGCATAAATTCAATTCCTTGAATCTTTCTGAGCCTTCCAAAATAAGTTATTGGAGTCTCACTCAGTACAATATAAACAACGTCATTGAGGACGCCAAAGACTTTGTGTCTATATAGTTTTTTAGCTGTTCGGGACTGAAACTTCTCTCTCCATACAAAGTAGACTGCTGGAATTCAATTTCAAACTTGGATAATCAGAGCTGTACATAATCACATCTTCCCTGAAGCTGCACAGTCACACACCACCAATGCTTCATGCTTGGTTGAACCCAAACCAATCCCATCCTCCATCATCATCATTATGGCATTGTGTAGAGGTGCAACCTGGGATACCTAACGGTCAGGAGATTGTGGCCAACTCCAGCAAACCAACATGGGTGATTTGCACTGATAAAAGGACCAGAAATGGTAAGATGCTGGGCACAAGGTCTCACTAATCTGCTTGGAACGAGAGCTATTCTCCTCCTTCAAGGATCAGGGAGGGAAATGGCGTGGTGTCTTTAATTGGTCTTTTCATGATCCATTTAACTGATCTATTTGTTGCCAGCTATATATCCTTGAGTTCTGTGAGATGTATTGGAGCCAGTCACTGAATAGGACTGGCCTGACTTCTTTGTCATTCAAATGCCTTGTTTGCTGCATCTCTGCAGAACCAAGTCTTTACAGTCTCTTCAGACAAACACACTTTGTACTTTCCAAGCACAGTATGTACAGAAAATCTTAGCCTCCAGTTTGGTTTCCAGCCAAGGGCTCATGCATCACAAATGGTCTTTGATTGCATTCCATCTTCAAATTTACATTACCAAACATCCTGTGCAGTGTTACACAAAGTCACGAGAACATGTAACTCTTCCAATGCAAATTCACAACACTTCCTTTACTGTGAGTGAAAAAGGCACTTGAAACCAACAGCTTGAAATAAACACATCAAAAGGTAACTTCAAGATTTCAGAGCATTCCATTCTTGACTAAAGAGAGAACACATGTTGGCACATTAAGGCCTATGTGCAAAACCTCTTGAAAAAAAGAGCACAGGAAAATGCATTGAGATAATGTACTCAGTCTTACGAAATCTATCGCCCAAAACTAAGAATGACACGACCAAAGTTGGTTTTCAAAGCTGCACCGCCCTTTTGCAAAAAGAATTCCAAGCGCCCTATCTCTCAAGAGGATGAAAAACCTAAAGTGGCTGAAAATGGACTGGTTTCTGGATGGAACAAACATTTGGAGATTGTTGTAATATGAAGTGGCTACTTGAAACAAATGGCTCAGATAAGAATACAATAGTCTAGCTCCAGACACCTTGACGAGATAAATGAAACACCTGCTGAACAAACCAGAAAACATGTGTGATCATGGTTAACATTCTTGTAAACATGTTACTGGGATAAGCAGAATATGACTATACCCTGCAATCTTCTTCAAAACTAAGGAAACTAAGTTTCTAAAAATATGAATTTCCAATCACCTCTTTACCCCTCCCAGCAGAAAACCAAGATGGAGCTTGACTGCTTCAATGCTATAGGTATCCAAACTGATCAAGCTGGTGAGTGGTATTGCATTCTGCAGGACACATCAGCAGTTTATCACTTACATATGCATTTCTGCAATCAACTAACCAATAATCAAGTTTTAAAAAAACATGTTGGCTAGTCACTGACATTTTGACTTTTTTTTTCAATTTACATAAATTTGCTGTCTAGTGTCTTTATCGTAACCTATGACAGTGCAAGAAATATATCATCTCAAATGAAAAATCCCTCAGGTTGCAGCACTCCCTAACAACTTCTCGGGAATCACAATGACATCTACGCAGTGACTGCAATGGTGTTTTGACCAGAAATCGATGATTCACCAGAAAACCAAAAGTACAGTGTACTTTATGCAACTCAAGCGATGAACCTGCTCACTACATGTTACATTGGTATCCAACTGGGCAGAAATAATATAGTGATTGTTACTGGTAATCACACAAAAATATTGCGAGTCTTTTGGGATTTCATTAAGTACTTCTATTATGAATAAGATACCCAAAAGCAAAATTACTAAAGACTACCGAATCCTGTTACCTTCCACTCCAAGCACAAACAATGACAAAAGAAAAAAAATGATTGAAATACTCAGTAAATGTATGCACTTGGCGGATTAAACATGTCAAAGATATGTGTGCTGGGAGGAGACCCGTCCTGCCAAGCGTTAATTGGATTTGCAATCTAAAATAACATTGTAATGGATATGTGATTATGAGCAACTAACATATACTGGCTTGGCAGTGTTCATCAGGAGCACATGGCCTTTGGAACCAAGAAAGCGGAGTACTGGGACCGACCAATAATCCTGTTTTACCTAGGTCTACCCGAACCAATCCATTACACCACTTGGCTATCCCCATCTGGTTAATTACATTTGTGAAACCTTCAATTTGTACTAATGGGTCACAGCAGGCTGGTAACAACTAGGCAAAGGGAGAGCTGTAAATTACTTCGTTGTCAGTTTCTCTGATCACAACAGGAACAGAATCTTGATGTTCATAATGTTCACACAAACTCTACCTTCTAGAAAAAATCCTAATATTAGGTCATCTTTCATGTCTTTATTAAAATCTGGCCCTTCAATTTATACTCTTTAACTTAGCTGTAGGCTAAATTGAAGCAGAGTTTAGATCTTTGATTGCTGAAATGTCATGCAATTTGAAAGATTTCCTTAGTATTCATCACCTGTTCATTTGGGTGACTGGCACTGACTACAAACCCCTACAATCAAAATGCACCAGCTACAAGGTAACTGTGCTACTACCAAGTGCTTACTGTTTCACCAATATATTTCAAGGGAATAAAGGGGAGGAATTAGCATCCCCATTCTGGGTGCAATTTTCTTTTCTTTTTTTTTAAACACAAACCTTTGGGAAACATGACTTGAATAATGGCTATGATTGTGGCGCTGGAGATTTTTTTCAAAAGGAAATAAAGTCTGACATTTCAACAGGGGAAGCTTCCAGGAAGTGTGAGGACTAGTCTCCTCTCAAGATTGGCAATTAACACATTTCCTTTTGGAAAGTATCCCCAGACAGTAGCTAAAACATACTTCCACAGGATCCTGGATAGTATGGGAAGTCCCACAGCCACATCACCGACCTTCACTTCATTGCTAATGTGGTATGCGGTACACATAAACTACACTGCTCTTTCTTCTGGATAAACAAATTTGGGGTATGGCTTAATGACTTGAAATATGCAGGACCCTTCAAGGCTGTTGATGAGAGGAACAAGTCTCTAGGAGAAAAATTCCTTCAATCTTGTGTCATCACAAGATATCCCCCCCCCATTTTCAAACCCTATGCTGCATGTACAGTACCAATTAACTGGCATCCATTCAGACCTGGTGCTTAACAACAAGGTAATAATTGCTAATATGATCCAACAAAAATTTGACCAAATGGAGGTCCATACGGCCTCAGGGCTTTGTCCTTCACAGGATAAGCACAGTCAAGTAATCTTCCATTCCTGTCTTGCTTGTCTTTCAGCCTCATTACACAAGAAATATTTGGTGTTCTTTAATAAATCAGAGAAGGTAACAAGTTTTTCCTTGATGATGTTCCTAGGCAAGTCTACAACGACAGTATATGGCACATGTGTGCTGTTTTTCTTTATACATAATTTGAACTTAATGGTGAAAATTTTGATTATTCGCGGCCATGATTGTTTTCAGTTCCAAAAGAAGCCCAACCTCGACAG